CAGTGAATCAATTAAGTTGGTTTGTGGATGGGAGTGGGAGAAGGAGACATTATAAAGAATTTAGAATCAAATTCTGTGAACCTGTCAAAGGATAGACTAGAGAATTCAAACTTGTCCCTGTTTGGAATGGAGTCATGTTGAATGTGTAGAGGAAAGTCAATGACATTTAAAAAAGGCATGTTTTGAAAAGACCCGTTTGGCAATAATATGCTGGTTTACTTGAAATTTGAAGAGAAGAGAAGCTGAAGAAAAGTGACCAGTTAGAGTGGTTACCTACTGCAGGTGTAAGGAGTAGTAGTGGAAATGGAAGGAAGGAAAGCACCATGAGGAAAGAAGGACAATATAGCTTGTTGGTTGGTTGATTATGAGAAGCCTCTGTGAAGGAGAAAGAAGAGTCCAGAGGGGGGTTTATTTTGGAGGCGAGACCCTAAGTTTCATCTTAGATGTGTTGAGTTTCAAGTGATACCTGGGTAATACAAGTGAATATGTTTAACCATCAACTGAACACACATTAGAAATATACTTCTTCTGTATGTTATTTGGAAACATGTATACTTTCCAACAACTGTTCATTCTTCCAAATCATTCTGTATGGTTGCTAAACTATAATTGAAACATCTCATTAGTTAAAGAGATTCGGATGCATATGATGATGAACACGAATCTAGAATTTAGTGAACCTGAATTCTAGTCTTGTCTCAGCCTTGAACTATGAGGTTTAAGGTAAATCATCTGCCTTATCACTATATCTGAACTAGTTTCCTAATCTGGACAATGAAGGGATTAGATCAAAGTCTCTTGTAGCTTGAAATTGCCTTGATTCCCTAAGGGAGAAAAGGCTGACATAGTCATGCTTTTCAAATTCTGTTGATTTGGAACATGATACCAGTATTAGTTTTCCACTGATGCTGTAACAAATTGCCATAAACTTGGTGGCGTAACAACAAGAATTTATTATTTTGCAGTCCAGTAGGTCAGAAATTCAACATGGGTCTCACTGAGGTAAAATTAAGATGTCACAGGTTGTGTTTTTGTCTAAAGGTTCTGCAGGAGAGTTCATTTTCTTGCACTTTACAGCTTCTGGAAGACACTTACATTCCTTGGCTATTGTTCCTCTTCCTCCAACTTCAAAGTCAGTATTGGCAGATCTAGCCCTCTCACATCACATCATTTAGACCTTCATTTTGTCTCCTTCTTCCACTTTTAACACCCCAGGGATTACATTGGGTCTACCTGGATAATCCAGGTTAATCTCTCTATTTCAATGTCCTTAACTCAAACTGTAAAGTCCCTTTCTACTGTGTGATGTAAGTGTATATTTTGATAATTTTTTATTTCTTAAAGTTTAAAACATAGCAGTGATGGGCAATCCCCTTGGGTCCCTTCCCACTGTTGGACCTTTTTTGTCCTCTCAATAAATCCTGCTTTCAGGAAAAAAAAAAATCTATATGTGTGTGTGTGTATGTGTGTGTGTGTGTGTGTGTGTGTGTGTGTGTGTGTATAGCAGTGATTATCACTGAGGCATATATTGAATGAGTTTTAAAAAATCATGATTCTACCATTCAACAAGCAAAACTTAACAAACTCCATTGTTTAAATTTAAAATGAAACTACTTTTTCCTAAAATAGGGAGAGGATAATCACATATTTATTTTCTTTAGAAAATAATGCATTTTATTGGAAATAGCAAAGAGCAAAGAATTAAACTGTAGTTTTACCTTTTAAAGCTTTTTTGCTAAAATTATATTTTTTCAAAATGGAAACATATCTAATTATAGGCCAACTCTGACTTTAGCTTGACAAAAAGGATATATCATTGAGTGTTTCCATTTCTATCTGAAAACAACGACTATAGAATATTTGTTTGACAGAGACATAAGGTCTTGTTAATAGACATTTGTGAAGCAAGATACTTTATAAGAGAGAGTGTCTTTATTCCTTTGTAACATGCCAATTTCAAATGGACATACGTGATACTAAAAACAATTGCAATGATGCCACAAGTAGAAATTTAAATGGCATCAAGTGGTAAGATGTTAGAGAATTTTTTTGTCATGCAAAAATTACTTAAGACAATGACTTTAGAGGGAAGAGTGTACTACCAAGGAATTATGTTGAGTTTGTTTGTTTTTCAGTTAAATTTCCAGAAAACAGTTTATAGCCCTGAGAAATATTAGATAAGAAATAGAAATTATTGTTAGAGAATAATCACCAATAGTTTCATGTTCACTATAAAAATGATAATGGACCTTTGGTAAAATAAGCTCCTAAAAAGCTAAACATAACATTCATTTTATTCTAATTAACTAAACAATATTTCCCCTAAGAAGGGGAAAGAGGGACACAAACACTTTGCATTCCTACTTGAAACAAGAGCCAACCCAAACTCTGCCCATGCAATTTCTTAATGGCACAAGGGAAATGGCTAAAACCACAGTGGAAAGAGAAAATGCCTTTAATAGTTTCTATTATAAGCTTTTTACCTCATGGAGAAACTGGACAAAGCAAATCGGATGTCCTATTTGCTTCCTTGGTTTAACGTTTGTTTCCTTTAGCTTCCTCCTCCTGGTTCCTGGCTTATAATTTGTCCTGACTCCTTAACAGAAGCTGAATGAACATAACATTCATAAAGCTTAATGAAGTATATATAGCATGGTTTATTGTTAATAGTTCCTTAGTTCTAGCTGAGATACATTAGAGAAGTAGGCAGGAAAAACTGTGGGTGAAAGGGTCGTCTACTATTTGGAAAGGGAAAAGACCACGTTTAGCTTTTGATTTTTGTTATTAATTCTCCAAACACAATTTCAATACCTAACCATTATAATCTAGTTAGGCAATCAATATTATGTCTGCTAGAGTAGATTTAAAGTGTTATACATAATGTGTCTATTATTAGAAAAATACTTATGAATTATTTTTACTTCTGGATTAATGTGTTTATTGTCGCTATTTCCAAATTTAACATTCTATGGTCTATTTATTGTTTGTACTATATATTGTTTCCCCAATACAATGTGCAAATTCATGAATTTATGCTCTCATAGTTCACCCTTCCTGAAATGTCTTTTTGCCTCTTCTCCAGGCAGCCACGTTCTAGTCTGTCCTTCAAAAACAGCTACCTTTTTCTATATCATGAAATCTTGCTCAATATGCAGCCTATGGTAGTATATCCCTTCTTGTATTCATATAGAACCTATCATTGGGTTGAGTCATATGTTTCTAGTTATTTTTTGTGTTTATTGTCTTTCCAACTAGATGCCAAGAAGATTGCTAGAGGCAGGGGTTGTTTGCTATATATCTTTGTATCCTTCGCACTTTGTCTAAAGTTGTACAGATTTTTGGTTATTTATAATTTGTCAGGACTTTTGGTTGTAAAGTTAAAAAAATTCAATTCATGTACCAACTCAAGTAATGAAGAAGGCTCAAGGATTGGTCTGGCTGAATATTTAGTTACAGCTAGATCAGGTTCCCAAATTTATCTTTAGGAATCTGTTCTTTATTTGTGGCCTCTACTTTCCTTTGTCTTTGCTTTGTTTTCAGGTAGGAGATCCCTAAATTGTGTTTTTGGGGGAGTAGAGAAAGAACTTTCCTCTCTCAGTAGATACAGCAATTCTTGAGGCTGATATCATTGGTTTTATTAGACTGTCTTGCACTTTGCACTTACCCCTGACTAATCACTGTTGTCAGAAGGAAGTGGTTGGGCTGGACCTGAGTTACTGGTCATATCTTGAGCCAGAGAGTAAGATCAGTTGCCCTCTCATTTCTCCAATATATTCACTGAGACTGGAGGAGGGGTAGTTCCCCAAAGGAAAAAGCAAATTTTGTGCCAGCAGAATCGGAAATGGTTGTCAGACAGTTAAAACCAAGATGCCCATGGGGAGTTTAGTAAATGTTTGCTGATTGATCTGCTAAACATCTTTATAGAAAAGAAGTCAGATTTGTAGGTATTCTGTACTATCTTTCACCTTCATCCAAAATATTTTATGGTTGGCATAGTGGCATATCTCTCTCTCTGTGTCCACAGTCACTGTTGGTAGAATTGAAGGGGATATGACCTATGACTTTGGTTTCCCACTAATATGCTGCCAGGGCTAGGAGGCTGTTACTCTTTCAAGGGTGGATTAATAACTGTGCTTACCTGTTTGAACCTCTCAATGGGATCTCAAAGTTCTTTTGTGGAAGAATGAACAGAACAGTCATCAAATCTCTCCTTATGGGTTGTGATGATATTGGCCAAATGGCTTCATGGTAAAATTAAGAAGCATTATCAACCAATTAAATATTTACTAGGTACTAGTTGTGTGACTCTGTTTTGGATTCTCCCACTGAAAGCTGTGTTGACTGTAATCAGAAGTTGATTATAAAGCATACAAATGGAAAACTTTTGAGGTTGTCATTATGTCAAACATAAACAGTCAGGATGTGTACACTAAATTGACTAGCAGGATTCTTGATTGCCTATTGTGTGTACTGAGAATTAAGATCAGAGATATTTGAAGTTCAAAAACTTAAGTCATGTATTGGGCATCTTGCCTGAGATTCAGGAAGTAAAGCTCTTAATGAACATCACAGACAGTGAAAAATATTGAGATCAGTTTCCATGGGAAATGGATGCTGGGCAGGCAAAACCAATATGTCCATTGGGAAGTTCAGTAAATGTTTGCTGATTGATCAGTATAAAACCTCTGTGGGATAGAAGTCAAGTTCATGTAGAATATTTACCATTTTTCACCTTTATCCCAAACACTTTATGGTTAGACTAAATAATTTGTTTGAATAAAAGCATATATAATATTTTATTATTTGAATATTGTTTTGTTTCAAATGTACCTTTCTTAGCTAGTTTAGTTTATATGTGGGAGAGGAGCAGATCAAGCATAAATAGAATAGTAGTTCTTTAGGAAGCGATGTTCTGCAACCCCAAGAAAACAAATATTTGTTCTAATACAAAATATTCATTGAGAACTATCTTAACTTTATTTTTAATCTTTACTTTTTAGAATTGGAAGATAAGCAGAAATCTACAGCTGATACCTCTCCGAATATTAATTTGTTCTTACAGATGTTTCACTCATCGTGACCCTAACCTCTTTGGAATTGCTCAGGTGTAGAATGGGTGAGCTGCTCCTTCAGAGCCTCATTCGACTTGCCCTCTCAGCTCTGCACACACAGTAAGATTCTGTCCCGCTTATGCGACCATACCGTGCCTGCCTTCTTTGTCCACACTTTGAGAAGGAAGAAAAATAATTCAGTTATAAAGTTCCCAATTTAAATATTCAATCTACTTTTAGCTTGCTTACATTCCAGGTGTGCTGTTTTTTCTTTGGCTTAGAAACAAAATAAAATAATGGAAAAAAATAACGATCTGTGTGGCAAATTAGTGTTATTTTTTCTTGTTATTTTATGACTATTGCCCCCTTTTTCTAGATAAGTATTCAGAGACTTTGATGGGGAAAATTATGTATTTTATGAATATTTTGTAATTCAGAGAGAATCACTGTTTAGTGTTAGATAACTGTATTACATTTGTATGATTTCATTTGAGGCACTAGTATCTATTGGCTTTTATTCCACTTAATAATGAGTAGAAGTCTAGAAATCCAGGGTTAGTAACTCCTAACTTCACTTTGTGGCTATTTTTAAAGTTTTAATTTTTTGATTTTCATTTTTCACAAAGGACACTGCCATGGCAGTAATGCTGAAACGAAACTTGACTACTTTTTTTTGAAGGACAACAGAAAACTAGGAAAAATAACTTATGAAAATATATGGTATAATTTGCATAAACCACTGGTTCTTGGAATTTGGTTTTGTTCAGCACCATCCACATCACTCAAGGAACTTGTTAGAAATGCAAATTACCTGGCCCCAACCTAAAACCACAGAATCAGAAACTCAAGTATGGCCCAGCAATCTCTATTTTAACAAATCCTCCAGGTGATTTCTTTGCATGCTCTAGTTTGAGAACCATGGGACAGACTCAGATAAATGTGATTGCTTTATGTTAAAAAAAAGCAAGACATTTAATCATAAGTTTATATTTAAACCCCACTAGAAATAGATTTCTTTATGTAACTATTTGGTGGTCCTTTTGGTGGAAAGCAGAGTCAAGTCTCATATTCCATATGCCTATTATCATGTTACCTTCCAAGCAAGACCTTTTATGAGCTCAATTCAGGATATATTTCTTAATGCATCAAAGTTGCATCTGGCATAACAAGGAAGTTAAATTAATGGAGCACAGCAAAGAGGAACAAGGTTTAGGTCCTACTGAGACAGGGATGGGCCTCAAGGTTACTTTCTAAAGGCTACATTAACCAAGAATGCATTTTAAACCAAAATAAAATAGAAAACGAAGTACAAATGAAAGACATAGGAGCTTATTAAAAATTAGTTACGGGTTATACTATGTATGTTTATTGAGGGATAACCACTCAGCCAATTGATTTTGATAGGGAAATATCTTGATACAACCCATGCTGTTGAAGAAGTGTTTTGTTTGCCATTTTAATCCCATGACTGCAGCCCCAATGTGTGCACCATCTTGGTCTTGGGGAGAAAATTTTATCCACTCATCTGTATCAGGTGACAGAAAGAAAATGTTGACCCCTTCCCTCCACCTTTCTACCTCTGTCTTCTTCATACCTCAGGGTACTGCAGCCTAGTTTCTGCCCTTCTATTCTATGGCAACTGTCCTTTCAAAGTCATCAGTGACTTCCTCCCAATCCACCTCCTTATCTGGCTGGTGATCCATGCAGGATTGGGTTAAACTGGCCATATTCTACCTCCAGGGACTATATACCTGAGGTTCATTCTTCTTCCCCATCCCTTTAACTGAATTTGATACCTTTCTCTCAAAAACAGGTGTTCTGTAAGATTCTTTATGGAGTCCCATTTTCTTTTCCCTTGACATTCTTTCTTACCCAATGAATCATCTGCTTCTACTAGTTTCATTTAGCCTCATTTAGCACACCTAGGTGTGTAACTCCTGAATCTTTCTCCATTTTTAACACTTGTTTCCAAGCTTCTCAATTTAAACATACCTAAAATAGAACAGACTCTCTTCTTATTTTCCCAGTTATTAATTATTTAGACAAATATTTACTGAGGAGCTACTATCTGTAGGCACTGTTCTCTATTCTAAGGATATAAAAATTAACAAAACTGATATGGCTTCTGTTTTCATAAAACTTACTTTCTAATTAAGAGAGAAGCAATAAACAGTAGACTAATAATATGATGATAATTACTTTGAAGAGAAGCAAAAAGTATTCAGAAAATAGAGAATTATGGGAAGACTTTTTATATAGGGTTGTCTGGATCTGAGATATTTGTTCAGAGATCTGAGGCAAAAGAGTTAGTGAGCCCTATGGATACAATGAATAGGAAGCAGTCGAGTATTTGAAAGGCTAAAAGCCCAGACTAAAAGTGTGCTTAAAAAAGAAAAACCATGACTCTGATGTCAAGGAATTTAGTGTTACTGAATGCATGGTCATGTATCAAATGTCACTTTGGGAGCCAGACTGGAGAATGAGGCATCTGCTTCTGCCTTTTGGGGTCATTTCATGTTCTGAATCATTGGTTAATTAAATTGGAAACTTAATCTATCTTATTCCACATATATTCGGTTTTGTATGTGCACGTGTGCATGTGTGTGATATCTTCTTGTCAGTAATCCATCTGAAATACTACAGTTGGGATCTGAAACACTGCAAAATATTTTTTATTTTCTAACAATTACAAACCAACCTTTATATATGCTAATGAAGTTGAAGCAACTGAAGAGGTTTTTTTTTGGGAATTATCTATTTTCAATTTTTCTCCTTTTTGTCTCTTTCAAGCGTGCTCTCTGGAATTTTTATTTTTCACCCACACTTGCCTCAGAAGAAAAATACGAAAGAGACACTCAAGTGTCTTTTACTGTTTGTTATAAATTCTTATCATCTGTGTTGTGGAGGAGTAGTTTCCAATTAGAAAGGATATTATTTTAGTATTATAAGTGAATTCTATTTATGTCGCTAGTTATTAATAATTCAAATGTGGTTTCTGATTCTTTATATTTGTGTATGTCCTTTGAAGACTCAATCCATGACTGATTTTCTCCATTTAATTACTCAATATTTCTAACAACTTTCCAGTAAGCTGTTAGTTGAATTCAGAGGGTACAGAGTTGCTAGATCTGGCAAAAGTATTGATATTATTTTTCTATAATCAAAGCAAGGAACAATTAAGGATATTTGCTTCTTTTGGACATTTTTTTTTTTTTTTGAGTTGGAGTCTTACTCTGTCACCCAGACTGGAGTGCAATGGCTGCTCCCGGCCACCGCAGCCTCGACCTGCTGAGCTCCGACGATCCTTCCTCCTCAGCCTTCCAAGTAGCTGGAACTACAGGCATGCGCTACCACGCCTGGCTAGTTTTTTTATTTATAGTGGAGATGAGGTCTCGCCAAGTTGCCCAGGCGGGTCTCGAACCCGCGGGCTCAGGCAATCCACTCACCTCGGCCTCCCAAAGTGCTGGGATTACAGGCTGAGCCACTGAGCCCGGCCTACATTTATGTTAACATATTTATTAATGGAGATTACTGATAAAGTTTTAAATGAAGGTAGGCTTAGTTTTTTCACTTGTTAAAGCTTTTCAAATCTTTAAAATAACTCTTGGAACTCTCATTGGTATTTCTTCATAAAATGTCTTGAGTGTTCCTTGTTGTCTAGGGTATTTGCTGGATTGCAGCTATTAGAAAATAAATGGCTGGAAGTCACTTGCTCTTGCTAAATAATTGTTTTGCCTCTCAGTTCTGAGAAAGTCCCTGGGCAGCTTAAATTTGCAAATTCACTGCTGGTGCTTTGGGAGCCTTCTGCAGTCCACAGGGCTCCAAACTTCATGAAGTCTCCTGACCTGAAGTTCAAAAGGGAGCTTGAGACTCAGAGAGAAGATGTGGCACACCAGGATTCATGAGGGGACTTCAAAAAGGTCTACAGGCAGGGCACAGTGGCTCATGCCTGTAAACCCAGCCCTTTGGGAGACTGAGGCTCGCAGATTGCTTGAGCCCAGGAGTTTGACATCAGCCTGGGCAGCACAGTAAGACCTTGTCTCTATAGAAAATTAAAAAACTAGCTGGCATGGTGATGCGTGCCCATAGTCCCAGCTTAGGAGGCTGAGGTGGAAGGATTGCCTGAGCCTAGAAGGTTGAGGTTGCCGTCAGCCGTGATCAATGTGATCATACCACTGTATTCCAGCCTGGTTGACAGAGTGAGACCCTGACTCTAAATAAATGAATATAATAAAAAGGTCTTTATCCCATTATTGTGGGTGCTCTTAGGGGCCAGCGAAATCACCTGAGGTGAAGGAAATCCAGGATGTGTGCCCTGTTTCTAGGTACAGGGTTAGAGTGTGTGAAGATGGTTAATAGGGCTGCACAATATGTACACTTGGGTGAGCTATAAAAATGAGCCACAAAAACAAAAAGAGCGAGGCTGCTTTAGAAGGTGGGATGGAGAAGGTAGGGAATCTATAATCTCCCAGACTCAGGCTATCCAAGGGCTGCTGAGGGATTTGACACGTTCAAAGGCAAGTGTTTGGACCTCAGGAAGAGAGATGAGGCTCGTCAGCCTCACTGCAGACTCAAGGTGAGTGAGTTGTTTGGTAAGAAGCCTGGGTCATGGGTCACAGGCAGAAAGCACGGGGAAAGGGCTGCAGGGGCGGGAACTTCCCAAGGGTTACCTTCTAGGAAACCACCGCCTTTCATTTCCATAAGTAAGTTGATAAATATTTAGAAAGAGAAAGAAGATTGACTGTAGTAGAGGATAGGGAGGCTAGATCACAGCTATCACTCTCCTAGTAAAATTAGAAAGAGCCTCCAGTCTCTTGAATTAGAACCAAAGCCTGTGATTTCTTTCTGGTGTGACTGAGGAAATCAGGGGTACATGTGGGCTATTACTTTATTTTCCAAAAAGAGGGCAAAAAAGTGCATTTAAAATTTTTAAAACTGACCAATTAAAATGCCTCAATCAGAGAAGGCTGGTTTAAAAAGACAGTAATACTTAAAAAAAAATCTATATTTCACCTTAAGATTTCAATTTTATACGTATAATTGTTTATTCAACAAATATTTATTGTCATCTCTCATAGGGAAGATATTATTTAAGCTTGGAAATGGAAAAAGCCTCAGAGAGCTTTTATCTGTTCCTAGCAAAATAACCAGTGAAGAATTCCTTTGACGTGTCAGATCAAGCTCTTCTCTGCTCAAATCCCACCAATCTCATGCTCAACATTCTGTTTCTCTATCTAGACCACTTTTCCCCAGATCTTTGGGCTCATTTTCCCACATGTTTCAGAAAGTCCTTCC